CAACTGTCTAAACCACCACCTTCCTGCTGGGCTTTTAATATGTAAATGTGGAGGACATATTTACTTTTTTTTCAGTTTCCTTGCTGACTAACTTTTAAGTCCTTCCCCTTCCTTTTCTCTCCCCTCCCTCCTTCTGAGCTACCTCCTGTTTACTCCTTTTTGAGACAGTATCTCACTGTGCAGCCCAAACTGGCTTGAATCTGGGCCCCTCCTGGGCCCTTGCTGAGGTTAAAGGTATATGCCACTATATCCAACTCTCCTTCCTAATTTTTAAAGAATCTCTTTTTATATTTTTTTTCCTTCAATCCTCTACCTCCCTATACTTTGTTGGAAATATCTAATTTCTTTTTTATTCTACTAGCCAAGCAAGCAAACATCACCACATGTACTGTAAGAGGTAACGGCCCTTAACTAAGTACAGAAGCAATCCCTGAAAACATAGTCTTGGAAAAGCCTTTACAAAGAAAAGAACAGAGAAGGCTCACTGAAAAGTGGAGTACTGTGAGGAAACCAATGAAAGTTACCTCTAAAGAAAAGAAAAACTAAAATCTGAGATGGGGACAAGATGCTCAGGGCTGCAACAAAGTCCCTGTGAGCTCCTCCTGATGACCACTGAGGAGACGGCTGACAGGACCTCACTGTGTCACAGGCTTTGTGGGTGAGAATGCTTTCAAAGGCACATCCCAGGTTCCCACCTACCCTAAATAGGCCTGGCTCCTAAGTTCCCCATAAAACCATCAAATGGATTGAGCCATTGATTAGATCAGTGTCTTCATGATTCAGTCACAAAAAGCCTATCAGGTGGCTGGAGATAGGGCTAAGTAGGTAAAGCACCTACATAAGCATGAGGACCTGATTTCAGCCCTCTAGCACACACACATGCACGCACACAGGCGCGCGCGCGCGCGTGTACACACACACACACACACACACACACACACACACACACACACACACAGAGCCAGGGGCGACCTCATGCGTCTGCAATCCCAGGGCTGGGGAGGTGGAACCAGAGTAGACTCTGTGGCTCACTGGTCAGTAAGTCTAGCCAAATCAATGAGTTCTAAGTTCAGTGAGGCTGTCTCTAAAAAATAGAATCAAGCTGGGCGGTGGTGGTGCACACCTTTTATCCCTTTTATCGGAAGGCAGAAGCAGGTGGATCTCTGTGAGTTCAAGGCCAGTCTGGTCTGAAAAGAGAATCAAAATGGACTGATAGATCCTTAATGGGAACCTCTACTCCCATTCCACCTCAAAGTCTATCATTTGCGAGCTCTTTATCACTGGGGTCTTTGGGGTATAGGAATTGAAACCTACATCAGTTAACCTGTAATTCTGCAAACAGACATCCATACAGTCTGTTCTTTCTTGAGCTGACCCTACGATGGACAGCTGAAGGCTGTACTGTTGTGGAATAGAACATTTGTCTAACCATCTAAACATGTGTTGCGTTTGTTTATGCTGTATTTATTTAATTATGTAAAGGTGTGTTGTTTTTGTTTATGTTGCATTTGTTTAACTATTATGTAAAGATATGTTGCTCTTTTACCTTGCCTGCCTAAGGTACCTGATTGGTCAAATAAAAAGTTGAATGGCCAATAGCGAGACAGAGGAGGAATAGGCAGGGTTAGTGGGCAGAGAGAAACTGGGAGCTGGCCAGTCACTCAGGGGCCAGCCAGCGGGGGGGGGGGGGGGGGGCCCAGCCATCCCAGCCAGGCCAGAGGTTAGCCAGCCAGGCACAGAGGAAGCAGGAAAGCAGGAAGAGTGAAAGAAAGGTTAAAACCTCCAAAGCAAAACATAAATAAAGAGAAACAGATTAAACTGAGTTTTAAGAGCTAGTGGGACAAGCCTAAGCTAAGGCCAAGCTTTCATAATTAATAAGAAGTCTCTGTGTCATCACTTGGGAGCTGCTTGTGTCCCACAGAAAATGCCAGCTGTGCCGTACATACCTTGAACAGTCACCTGCAGAGGCCGAACAAGGTCTGGGTGCTTTAGGGAGTTCCCAGGGTACACAAACCACTCCTTGACCACCGGTTCAGTGCTGGCTCCATCTGAGTAAAGACAGGGGGTCAGTAGGTGCAGGAGGACAGCAAAGCCCCTGCATACCCATTTGCTTCATGAATGTTTCCTTTCACCCCGCCCCCATGAAAGTGATGACGTCACCAACAGCTATGTTCCTCCAGTCTAACACGGCCCATCCATTACTTTCACGCTGCTTTGCTAAAAAGAAAACAACAAAAACAGAAAAACCTGAGCCAACTGAAATTTTGCAATAATTACTCGCCAAACATACAGAAGAACTTTTGTTTCTGAAAAGTCTAATGTAAGTTTTGAAAGTGATTTCAAATACTGAGTTCAAGACCAGGAGTGCTGGAGAGATGAGTTGGTGGTTAAAAGCACTTGTTCTGCCGGGCAGTGGTGGCGCACACCTTTAATCCCAGCACTCAGGAAGCCAAGGCAGGTGGATCTCTGTGAGTTCGAGGTCAGCCTGGTCTACAGAGTGAGTTCCAGGACAGGCTTTAAAGCTACAGAGAAACCCTGTCTCAGAAAACAAACGAACAAAAAAAGCACCTGTTCTTACAAAGAACCTGGGTTCAATTCTCAGCACTCACATGGCCACTCTCAAACACCTATGACTCCATTTCTCCATTTTCAGGGGATCCAACCCCTCTTGTGACCTCCTCAGACAGACACCAGGCATACACATGATGCAGAGATCTTACCATACACATACATCTTTGATACATAAAAGAATTAGAGACCAAAACGGACTCTCCTACCGTAGCAGCTCCTACTAAACATTTTCACAACAGACGAAAGAGAGGGGGAAGCACAGTGGGAAGGCAGGGTAGGATGTGCTCACACGACCCTGGGAATTGTCCCACCCACAGTCAACAGGCCTTCCTACATCAACTGAAGCCATCACAACGGTCCCCATAGGCATGGTCAGAGTCCTGCCTCCCAGGTGACTCCAGTTCTGTTGACCATGAACACTGACCACCATATACTCAAGAACCAAAATTAATTAAAAACCAAATACAGCATAAATCCGGGGTGTCTCTGGAGCAGTCCCATGTTGCACAGTACAACTTCAATGTAACCTTGAACACACAACGTGTGTATTTTGTACCACACCCCCCCACACACATGCCTTTATACCATGTGATGCCAACCATACTCCTCAAAACACATCAGCTGAGATTCAAGACTACTGTATGTTATGAACAGCAGTGTGTTCACTGTGCACACAGAATTTTCTGGTGCCACAGAAACACAAAGGTTTAACTCTGGAAAACCAAGACTTTTAATATTTTCTTACTGGCACTTCTCAGTATATAAATATCAAATTAGCATGTCATGGGTGCGTACTGTGTTAGACAAGCACAGGTTAAGATTACATGTGTGCCAAGAATTGTTTTAAAGTAAATTTGCTATTAATATTAAACCCTGCATATGCACACATACTTTATATATCCAGGGTCATGGGAAAAATTCTCATGAAAAGGGGTCATGAGTAAAAATTGCTTAAGATATTCTGATTTATGTTATGATTGCTATTAGGGAGAAAAGAGAGAGAAAATCAGAGCAAAGAACAGGTATAAAAGCAAGAATGGTCAGAGGGAGTAGTGTTAGCCACAATACCTTCAAATCATGTGAACACTGCATAGGTACAAATAAAGCAAAACCAGTCTATACTTCCTGAGGAAGCTCCCCCTGGGACAGTCAGACACCCCAGTGTTCCCAGGAGGCCAGGATTCAAAGGTACTAATGAAGAGTGATAAACACTCCACACAAATGCACTGTGTGTGGCTGCAGATCCTCTGGCCAAAGGCTGGGAAAGCATTAGCTGGGTTCTGTGCTGGGTACCCATCCTCCAATCTGTGTGGTACACGGATGGGCTCTTCCAGACAGGCAAACTAATGTGGCCACTGACGCTCACCTACTGATACTAAGGATCCAAATCTCCCACCTGAGCAAGCAATTCAACCATTATGGCTACTTTCTCTAAGAAATGCTACTAAATGCCAACATTCCAGGAAAGATAAATATACATTCAAAGCATACACAGTTACCACTGGATTCACACCAGTGCAGAACAAGTCACTAAGACATTGCTTTGGCCCAGGTAAGGTGGTTTAGAATGAGAGTCTGACACGTAGTTTACTATACCAGCATTAGTTTCCTGGTTTTCTGTTACCCTAAAGTCACAGATAATGCCATCTTTGGGGGATGCCGGGTGAAGGCCACAGAAATCTCTTGCTGCACCATCGTATGAATCTGCATTTCAAATTCAGCAGTGTTAGGACATATACAGAAGCCATAAACAATGGCAAAAGTATTGTGTAGTGAAAATATCAATAGGAAGCTTTCACAGTACACAAAAAACGGCCTGGTATTAACTGAAGGTAAAACTGTGAAGGTAAAGACAGACAATACACACAGAAAGGGGAAGGGGCTGGGGAGGTGGCTCAGTGGTTGGAGCCCTGGCTGCTCTTCCAGAGGACCCAGTTTTGATTCCCAGCTCCCACAACTGCCTGTAAATCCAGTTCTAGGGAATCCAGTGCCCTTATCGCCCTCCACAGACCCCAGGCACATATGTAATACATATAAAACACCCATATACATTTTTAAAAAGGAGGGGGAGCCCTAAAATTCCAAAGGTATACTATAAAATAATAAAGTTACTAACAAGTACATTAAATGCAATTAGCCAAAACCATTTCAATTAAAAAGAGAGGCATTAGGTCAGGAGAAATGGTGGCACATACTTGCTATCCCAGAACTGGTGTGTTATGGAATAACCCATGAATATATACCATGAATATGTACCATGAATATATACACTATGAATATATACCACTCTCATTGGCTAATAAAGAACTGATTGGAGAGTAGCCAGGCAGGAAGTATAGAAGGGACAGTCAAATTGAGAACACTGGGAGGAAGGGTGGAGTCAGTGGAGATACCAGGAGACACAGAGGAAACAAGACGTGCTGGAGGATAGGTAAAGCCACAAGCCACAGGGAAATACATAGATTATTGGAAATTGGTTAACTTAAGTTGTAAGAGCTAGTTAGTAATAAGCTTGAGCTATTGACCAAGCATTTATAATTGGTTATTCGGGAACGGGTGTTTGGGACAGGAAAACTCCACCTACACTGGTGAAGTTTGAAGGCTTGAAATTTGAAGACTCTGAAACACACAAAGTGGTATTAATCTACCTAATACACTTCCCCCTTACAACTCCTCATCCATACGGCCACCATATTCTCTTCCTGGAAACACATGGATCTGCTTCCCTGTGTAAGGCATCCGAATGGCTTCCACAGCCTTCACCATGACACTTCTGGTCCTCCTAGGAATCTTGAATCACCTTTATTTCTTTGTATACCGCTTTGCTTTCATAAAAACTGCCATACTTGTCTACCCCGAAAAGAACATTGACTTTTCAATGTGATACTTGCTCCATCTTTAAATTATGTCAGGTTTATTTTCTTGAAGAAATAATAACAATACTGTTATCTGGAAATAATGGTGTTCAGAGAAATAGACACAGACACCCTTTTGTGATTTAGGAAAACCCTGCTGTTTAAGATCCTCTCATTTTTACTGCTCTGGTCATCAACTACTCTTTCTGCTATGTTCACAATATAAAACACTTTAGGAAAAATGTAAACATATTATAAAATGCTAAAAGACATCTGTTTATATTTTTAAAATATTAAATTTTATATAATCGTTTTATGAAAAAATCTTACTTCGCGGGGTATATAGATAGTACCAAAAACACCCACACCATACATCAGGAAAGGTTTTTCATTTTGTCAAAAGCACAAATCCTTCTAAGATATAAAATTATGACATTTCATAGTGAGAGTGCAGTTCTCACTAATGACTGTGCTAATCAGATAGCAATGTCTTGTGGTTCTCACCTTTCCAGTCCCTAAGCAGAAGCGAGTACACTCGCTGCCGGACGGGGCGGTAGATGAAGGCTTGGCTGGGCAGGGCTTGGTCCAGCTCGTCCTCCAGGGTGTTGCTGCACTCTATCTCCCCAGTGCTCATAATGTTGTACACGAGGTAGCTCTCTGAATGGACATGCTGCATCCTGGCAACCTGCTCAAGATTAAACAAACAGACTTCTTCAAACAAACAAACTTTCAAACAGACACAGTCCATACCAGTTATCAGTTTATCTAAGGTACTCAAGTGAGGAACTATTATTCAAAAACATGACATCAAGGGGTAGTTATGTTTTCTCTCTTTTGTACTAACAAATCCAAAAGTTTATTTGTATTACCCTTCTCCTGTGGCCTCCAATCTACCAATCTTACACTTACTGCATTATTATTATGTCTACTTGAGGTGTCCCCATAAACATGCTCACTGCTTTCTGTTAGGGTTGTTAGGACGGGCTCCTAAGTGAGTTCACAGCACAGCTTCTCTTACCAACTCCTCATTCAGGTGGCCACCATGTTGTCTTCTCGGAAACAGTTCAATCTGCTTGCCTGTGTAAGACATCTGAATGGCTACCACAACCTTCCCCATGACGCTCCTGATCCCACTAGGAATTCTCAGTCTCCTTTATCTCTGTGTACTCCATTTTGCTCTCATAGACACTGCGACACTCGTCTCAGGGGACACTGCTGTCTCAGTAGCTGTTTTCTCCCACCTTGTGCTCTGGAAGCACAAATCCCTCATCCTTCTGAGAACGGTTTCCTAACCTCCCACTTCCTAACCCACTTGAGCTTACCTCAATCACGACCTACCTTCTCTACAAACCCATTCCTCCTTCCCACCCACAAATAACCACCCTTAGCTCATGGGACTCAACTCTTACTCCTCAGATAAAACACCCTGGTGTTAGAAGCTGTATGTATTCATTTGCTTGTTCAACTTTTCTCCCTCTCTCCATTTTTTTTTCTTATGTTCCATTGCTCCTGGCTTCAATAATTGGATTTGTCCTTTGCACATTACATGGCAGGCCATAAGATGTGATTTAAACTGTATTTCCTCATTAAATATGCAGTTTAGACCAAAGGTCTATAATAACCTACATGTAGATTTTTTTTCCCCTATAAAGAACACATCTCTTTATTGTGGGAATAAAGTCTAGGCTATATCTAAAATATTGTTCAAAATTTTAAATTCAAAGTATCTACCAAAAGGCATTTAAAATGTTTTCTTATTATAACTTGGGCTATCAATATTTGGATCTAATTTAAATGCACCTAACTAGAACCAGATATATAGATTCACCGTTGAGACCTGAGTCTGAATCAAACTATTCACTGATTTATTCATAACACAGTTTTATTTAAAAAGCCACTGCTCGCTGTGCAATTTAAATGAGCAGATACACAGACTGTGCTTAACCAGGCTGCCTGCTTACAGTGTCAGTAAACACCAAATGTTTACTCCGGGCTCTTCAACTACCTGCTCTTTTTCCTAGACACTTGACATAATGCTTACTTTACTGCCATATTTCTTTAAACAAGGCAATCCTACTACCAGATTTTAGTTGTTTGTGTTCGTCACTGTAATTTAATTACAAAGTTTCTCTCGTCCTTTCCCTCCCTCCAAAACCTCCCAAACACCCTCCCCACTTGTCTTCAAATATAAGGCCTCTTTTTTCATTACCTTCTATTGCATGCCTATGTGAATCTGTATATACATATATACTCCTAAATAGAACCTATTGAGTTCACAAAATGTTCTTATGTGTATGTTTTCTGGGAGACAGTTTGGTACTGGACAACCAATTGGTGTGTTCTTCCTTGAAAATGAGAAGCTCAGGGGGTGGAGAGACGGCTCAGTGATTAAGAGTATTGACAGCTGACTTTTCTGTTTATTTGTTTGTTATTGAGACAGGGTCTCTCTACACAGCCCCGGCTGTGCTGGAATTTACCATGTAGACCAGGCTGGCCTCAAAATTACAGAGATCCTGGGAAGAAAAGCATGTGCCAACATCCCAGCTTTTAATTCAAAGGAATTTATATTTTTACAAATTTGCCTAGGAAATAATAATGAATTACATATACTTACTCTTCCAATAAATTGCTAATTTGGCAACTATATATACTTTGAGATATAACACCCCTTCTGAAGGTGTCATGTTTCCAGTTATGTGCTTATGATTCTTAAATCAGTCATACTAATACCACCTACATGCTCTTTGTTTCTGCCTTGCCTGCTATTTACTGATTTCTAGACTTCTGACAGATAAGTGTGCATCTGTAGTTGGCCATGCCTGCCACTGTTTTCCACCAAAAGTTTTATTTAGCAATGCGGTTAAATCATGCAAACTGGAATTCTAGCTGTCTGTTAGACAGGTTTGCCAGACTTCACAGCAAGGGCAACTTAATTAAGTCCATCATTAAATATAACACAAGATCTACACATTGGTAGATCATTTGCCTTTGCCTGTGAGGCTTTTTGACCCCTCTTCCCTACTGTCCCTTTGTAGACCCTACCTACACCTCTGCTGTAGCAACCGCCCCTAATCACCAAAGATGCATGGCCCACGCCTTATTTAAAACAAACAAAAGATATTTAATACATGTTTTATACCTCGACATATGCAGCTTACATGGTTTCACTTCCTACCTCCTACCACCCCTGCCCAAACTCCACTCTCCACAAATATCTCTTGTGCCTTTATGTCTGTTTATTTTATGACCCCCCCTACCATGATTAAGCAGGGCCATGTGTGAGACTGGGATCAGAGTAGCCACCACAGTCTGACAGGCTCGGCAGAGACCAAGCCCTATTTCTTGACCTTTATAGGATTCACATTCTTGATCACTTTCCCCTCTTGGAAGGGAAACACTTTCACCTATTCTGTGTCTCTCGGTGGAGGATTTCTTCTACTAAAGGCTTCTAAGACATATAATAAAGGGAGTGGCTTCTAACTGTCTCTTTCCTACTGGGACTGGAACTTCAGGTCCATATCTCACCGTGTGCACACTTCAAAGGGGCTTAGCTGTGCTCCTCTGCAGTGGAATTCAGTTAATCACCTTCCTGCACGTGGCCCTCCGCCTCCCTTAGCTGCTGGACCGCACGAGGATGACTCCTATGGCTACACAGACCTGTTTACTATTACTTTCACTTCACAGACAGGGGTGCAGGCCAATCACAGCAGCACATGCCCGCAAGCCTTGCACTTGGGAGGCTCAGGTAGAAAGATTGAGAATTCTAGCAGAAATAAGTCATGATCACTTCTGAACCCAAGTTTTTTTTTTTCCATATCTTTTTTCTTTGCACTGAAAACATAAATTCAAATCTCGACATCAGATTTTTATGTTTATGCATTTTTATTGGTCAGGGTTTGGATCTAAGGCCTTACTAAGTGCATGCTCTTCTGCTGAGCTACACCCCATCTGATATCAGACCTTTGGATCATGCTACTTGATCATCAGAATGACGTGATCTGTGGCTCTTGTGTGTGCACCCTCATCCCTCAGCATTTTCAACCCGTAGCAGAGCTACCACTAACCGCCTAATGGCATTTTAACTATTGGTTCTTAAACTAGGATAAGAAACCCCCCAAATCAGAAAGCATGATGGTGCTGCTTCTCCAGTCGACATTTCTTGATTCTAGCTCATCCACCCAAGGTTTTCTTGAGATTTTGTAGTAGTGAGTTTAAATTCATTCGTTAGAGTATATAACCAGGGTTTCAAAAGCAAACATCCAATCCTATCACATACTATTTAAAAATGTACCATACTACTTCACTAGGTACCGAAATCAAGACTAAGTTCTTTCCTAATGAATGAGGTTCCCTGTGTGGTCTAACCTAGGCTGTCAGACCAACCCACCTGCAGGAACCGAGACTTGGAGGGAGGCAGAAGAGCCCTCACGAACTGACCCTGAGTCACAGAGACACATACAGGACACAGACAGGCAATGGAAGACCGAGAATGAGAAGGGGGACAAACTAGACAGAAGTGAGCTGAGTGGCTGCAGAATCAGTAACCACGCCACTACGACCTCCCTCCGGGACACCCCAGGCTAAGTTCCGTCAGCTGTCACCTCAATGGCACACAAGACCAGGAGGAGCAGCTAATGGGATACTATTCACCTCTGTGCTCCTGGACCTCCTGACTACACTTCATCTCCAAGTGGCCAGCAGACAAGATGGATGTGAACCCGAGCTTGAGGCCAGAAGGGAGCCAAGAGCCTCCACCTCCACAGACCTGTGTGGATGTGAGCACTGCTTTCAACAAACAAGAACCCTTACAGATCGAGAAATCTAAGGAGAATCTTTACAGCTTTATGCATCAGCAGTAGCATTTTTACATTCAATGTACATAATAAGTCAGAGTGAGGTTAAGTGAGATCAGACTCACCTTCCCTGTGCTGAACAGGGCCAGCCTTCCTGCCATACCATGTACAATTTACTCCTCTCCAGATGGCCAGCACTTTCCTGAAGGTCCCCCTCCACCCTTTCGAGGAAGCATTAGCGATACTTCCAAGTGCAAGCAATCATCTTGCTTTCTTAAATTCTCAACATTTGTTGGCCCTGTGATTCTCTTAAGTGATGTGAGAGTCTACACTTTACTGTAATTATTGTAACTTGCTATTAGTTTACCTGCCACAGCCCTGCAACAGAAAAGGTTTTTTTTTTAAGGAGGAGACAGACTTGTAGCAGGAACGAAGCTGGGGGAGAAAGTAATTTATCCCACCAATATTTAAGGAAAAGCTATTAAAAGACTTATTAAAAGATGGAATTGGGAAGACACAAGACCTGCTTCAGGACTACCAGGACACAAGAAAGACATTGATCACAGCAGATCCCAACTGAAGCACACAGACCAGCGAGTCTTTAACAGAAGCTGTAACAAGAGAGACTGGTCAGCATTAACTAGGAGAGAGGATCGTGGTAGCTGGCCACAAGGTAGACAATGTGATGACCAGGCAACCAAAGGAGGAGGAGGACCAGGGTGACGTGAGGCTGGGCAGGCAGAGACTAGACACCGTCATTTCTTGGCTACATGTTTTTTGTTACGAGATAATAAGAATGAAAGAAAACACAAGATAAGGGGCTTTTCTTTATTTCTTCACACAGCATGATAAATGAACTACAAAAGGGCAAAAGTCTGCTCAGGGGGATTTCTTGACAATTAAGATAGCAATTTCCACAAGCGACAGCTGGAACTAGGAAAAGGAAGCTGGAAGAAGTGGATACTGCACACACTGAAAACTCATTTAACAGACATAACAAGGCTGAGAAAGACTCGTTATGAAAAGGGAGAAAGCCAAGCATGGTGGTGCATGACTTTAATCCTAGTGCCTGGAAGACAGAGGCAGGTGGATTTCTGGGAATTCAAAGCCAGCCTGGTCTACACAGTTAGTTCCAGGACAGCCAGGGCTACCCAGTAGGACCCTGTCTCCAGAGTGAGACAGAATTCCTAGATCTGGAGCTTGAACGGTGGTAATACAATGTAGTACTCAAAGCTGTGGGTAAAATCATGCTTGGTTCTCAGCTTGCAACCTTTGGACATTCCTGTGGACACCCACCTTATTAGCACAACCAAGATAACAGGACTGGGGACATAGCTCAAGGGTTAGCACAAGCTTAGGAAGAGTGAAGTCATGATGGTGGAGCTGGGGATGACTGGAACAATACCTGTTTTACAGGGCTGTTTTAAGAGTCAACTGAGCAAAGATAAACCCTGTGCCTAGCATGGACCTTGTATAGATAGGTATTGAACAGTGACTGTCCACCAAAGTCAGCTCTTCAAAGCCTACAGAATGTTAGTCTGGAATCAGCCCAGACTCCTGGCATTTAACTACTTTTGTAGTATGATCACACTCTACCTTTTCCAAGTTTCCCTCTCCCCAAGCCCTAGGCTTGCCGAGCTCTTGCCTGGATAGTTTACCAGCATGACTCAAAGTGACACTTATTTAATCACTACATCTGTAGGGTTCTCACAACCCCACAATTGATTTATTCAAAGCAAATGTCGTCCTCCTGAAGGCCTGACTCCACCGGGAAACTTTAACCCACAGCTCTTTCCCAGCAGACTTAAGACACAATATCAAACGTACTTACAATATGACTTCACGTATACAGTGACATCCTCCTAACTAGACTCAAGGTTTCTCGTCTGGATCTTCCTACAGTCTCCTGCACATAATCAATAAACTCTCATGAGCAAGCCCATTGATAGGCATCCTTTCAAACAGGACACTGCAGCTGAAAGTGGGGGAAGTCCGTCCACGTACCTTTAAGATTCCGGAGTCAGAAACCATGGTTACTTGTTTTATTTCAGGCTCCATATCCATGACATCTTCTTGTTTAACTTCAGGGTGTGTACACATGAGTTCTTCTGAATTAAATTCAGCCCCTGTTTCTGAAGGTAATTTTTGCTTGACCTCTGGATATGTATATACGGAAACTTCTTGCTTGGATTCAGGATCTGTGCACATGGGAACTTCTTGTTTGGATTCAGGATCTGTGCACATGGAAGCTTCTTGGTTGGATTCGGGATCTGTACACATGGGAACTTCTTGCATGGACTCAGGATTAGTATGCACGGGAACTTCTTGCTTGGATTCAGGATCTAAACACATAGGAATTTCTTGCTTAGATTCAGGGTTCTCCACTTGCTTGTCTGTTACTATGCCTTTGGGTTTTTGAACTAACCACGGAGATTTTTGCCCTGGCAAGAGATATGCTGCTACTCCTTTATAAAAAAGAGCTTTGTTTGGCCCCAAGGGTAACATGTCCTCTATCTTTTTCTCACCCTGATACAAGTGAAGAACTCTGGAGATATAGTCTGAGACAGCTAAGATAATATTTCCCTTTTTGCCAGCATTCTCCTTCACAGAAGCATAGGAGGACAGGCACTTGTACCGAAAGCTCTCAAACATGCCCTCCGGGGTGATGTCGTTGCCCAGCAGACAGGCTAGCAGAGGGAGGTCCGCCACATGGAGGCCTAGACTCTCACAGAGTTTCTCACGACAGAGCATGATGGTTTCCAGAGTCTCCAGGCAGAGATCGCCAATTGAAAAGTAGGGACAAGTGTCATAAATTAAGTAATCGGTGTCTTCCCCCAGGATCCCAAGACAGTTGTGCTGCAGACCGTACGACGCCACCTCATAGTCTGCCTCCTGTAACGAACAGAAGGTTTCCTGGCCCAGTGTCTTCAGAGCGAACCGTGTAAATATGGCCAGCCCGGAGGGAATGAAGAACATGTTTCTGCCTGGCTGCTCTCGTTTTGACTTGATATAGTGGAAAATCTTGGCTATCTCCCTGTTGTTCTTCAGTCTTCGCTTTGCCCACTCCTCTCTCTTGCCCGGCTCCACCATGCCATCAAAGAAGAATATCAACTTGATGCCAGCCGATGTGAAGGCTGCAACAAAATCTCTCAAAGCAGAAAAGTATTCTCGCCACTGGCCACCACAGATCCAAGACTCCGGCGTGTACCAGTATCGGAGGCAGCACATGGCATCCACCACGATGGTAGGGGTACACCCCGGGTACTCGGTTCGGTGGCGCTCTGCCAGCTCTTGGATATTTACTACTGTGCATATATGTGGGCAGGTACTTCCCACAAAACCTTGCAAACCTCTCACCCCCATAATTGGTTTTATGAATCTGCAAAAAAAAAATGGAAAAAGAAATCCATAATTAGTAACTATGGCATTATTTCTAGACACATGACACTCATCAATGCAGACACAGACATATTTAATCTTCTAAAAGAAACAAAGAGAGTTTCTAATTGTAATGTTGTTTATGGTTTTGTTGTTTGTTTTGGGGGTAAGTTCCATATGTGACCTAGCCTACTTGCCAGGAGTTGTAAGACATGAAGGCACTAAATAAAAGTAAAATTATTACTCAAGGTTTTCTGAAGGATTGGCTTAAGGGGCTGAGCTCCCTTCTAGTTGACCAGACATGTGGTGGGTCTGTGATCTCACAGTGTGTCTGAAGGAGGCAGACGAGAAGGAAGCATGCCTGAGGACATACTTCGGAAATGTCAGGTACAGATACGACTGTCACTATGCTGCTACACACACTTAACACAAATGTTGAAACATATCAAACTATGCAGGCAAACCTGTCAAGTACGCGCAATAACGGTGTTAAAAAGAAGCTGCATAAAAATGTACGATGCTAAATAGCTGCATCATTTGAGACAGTGACTACGAAAAAACTGAAATATAGATACAAAATAGTTTAAGAGTCAGAACTCAAAATGTAAGAAAGTACCACCAGAATTCTTCACTGAGCAAGATGTACTTACACACGTCCTTATATATAAATGAAAGACATTATTCAGACAGACAACAGGTTCACCAATAGTAGAAAATATTCCACAAGAAATCTTGTATCTTAATGGTATATTTTTCCTATTTTTTTATTTAAACATGGCATCAAGCCACTAAGTCCTTTGATAAAATATTAACAACAACAAATCCTTAATATACAAAAAGTAACACAGAATAATGCTTCTTGAAGACCTAGGACGGAGAGATGATCTCATCTTAGTGCGCTCACCAGCCAGGCAGAGTTGGGCATTCTCCCTCCCTCTCTCTCTCTCTCTCTCTCTTTCTCTCTCTCTCTCTCTCTCACACACACACACACACACTCGTCAAGGATTTATCCTCACACTGTAATGACACATTTGAGCTACTGACATGATTATTTCAACTATCAGGTTATCTCTTCAGTCCCTGGGTCTGGTCCCACATTTAGGAAGGTTGTACTTCCTGTTGTTGCTGCTGTGCTAGTGTAGTTCTGGGTCTCATCTATGCAGGTAAACGTCCTGCCACTGAATTACATCTCAACCCCTGACAACTTACATTCATTTCTGGAAAAGGGTGGTTTTTGCCTTAATATTATCCTGCACAGTATGCGGAAGATAAGGTTTTGTGAAAGGAATATATGCAGACAACAGTCAGAAGAGGCAGATAAACAACAGCACATAGATTTCACAAACCCTAGACCATCGGTCTGCGCCTAGCTCAGGATGAAGAAGGACTCTCACAGACCTAAATCTTACCCATTCAGAGATCACATTTCTGTGTAGTGAGAAAATTCCCCTTCTCACCAGCTCTTCACTGGGTGCTAGGACCCAAGAGACTCATCCATTAAGACACAAGTAACAGCCACACGGTCCATGGCCAGCTACTATAGAAGTCTTCAGCATCACACATAACACAGAAAACAACACACGTGAAGACAGAGTGAGAGGAACAACACGAATCTTCCATCCTTTTCTGGACTGACGTCCACTGCCAGTAAGAGGGAGTTTTGTTGTTCCTTGTTTGTTTTAAGTGTTTTCTACTAAAGCAGCTAAGACAGCAATGAGTGCCTTGAAATATTATCCCTATTTTCCAGGACACTGGGCTCAGTACACTGCTTTGGTTCTATTCACATGTTTCTGCTCCTTCCTTAGCCTATGACGGAAAAGCTTGTTGTGTACAGGGCAGGTGCTGCTTCAGTCCTTCCTAGTTTTCCCACTGGGCATTTCTCACACTGTGTGTCACAAACTACCTGGGGAAAGTGACATCACACACACACACACACACACACACACACAAACATACACATACACAGATACATACATATACACATACACATACATATACACATATACATACACATACATAGACATATACACATCAATACACATACATACACACACAAACATATACATATACACATGCAGACATACACACATACATACACACATCAACACACATACACAGATACATACATATACACACATACATACACATACATAGACACACACACACTCAGAAAAGGCGTGGGGACCTATGGCATTAGCATACATCTTCTGACATTTAAAGGTTGGTCAACTACTAGATTTCATAGAACCCAATTCCTTCCTGAAAGGAAGAGGGAAGACTCAGGAAGCTCCCCACTCTTACAACATCCACAAGGACCTGTCCCAAAGTTACAAAAGCAGTAACTGCTCAGGGGAAGATACTTTCCAAACAGCCCAGGTGCCTGCAAGTTGTGGAGCGAGTTTCACAGATGCAGCTTTCTTGAGCCGTTACTTGTGCTGGAGTGGGCTTTTGGTTACAGAGCTGCCTTTGGTCACCCATGTTTCTGTAAGGAACCTCAATAAGTATAGTCCCTTATGCTAGACTCAGCTGGAGTCTGTTTTTGATCTGTTGTCGGTGGCCTACCTGGGGTGGACAGGCATTTGTTTACACTTCAAAAAGTGTCCCACACACAACACACAGATAGTGCATTTTAATATAAAACATCAGGAAAAAAAGACAGAAAGCTATGGATATTATTTAAATTACTATTGTTTTTCCTTATTGTTAAAAGCATGTGAGGAGGATCTTAGTTTCCTAAAGAAGTTATTACAGGATGACTAGAGAAAAAAAACAAGTGTAAAAATAAATGGGGGGATTTTTACAGCAAGATAATGGGAAAGTGGTCTCAGGTACATAAGCGGCAAATAAATGCGGAGACGAGGAGAGCTCACTCCTCCTCTTACTAGACAGAAGTACCATGGCTCAAAATACAGTCTGAGACGCTCTGAGAATCACTACCAATAGGGTGGGCCTTTTGAGACAATGACATCACTGTCTGTCACATCACAACATACTCTGTAACATCTCCCATACATTAGGACCAATGCCTATCTGAAAAAATCGATTAATCAAACCAAGGGCAGGTGTATAAAGTAAGCTGAAGAACCCACTCACAGTTTACAGATTCCCATAATAGTTGAAGAGAGAAAAGTAGAGAAATAATGTCTGATAATAAAATAAAAATTACTTATACTTGGCATTAAGTTCTATAACAATAGCCAATAGCATTATGTGGAATATATTCTTCTTACCAAGGTGGGGTCAACTGAGAAATTAAATGAAATTAATCTGATACCTGCAATACAGAAGTTACAATGGTCTACCCAATGATCAACTCCTACCTTCAAAAAATCAAGCACCGCTTTGAAGGCAGGGGAAATAGGGAGGGAACGAAAAGGACAAGAATGTTTGCAAAGCAGCAAGAAAAGACAAAAAGCAAGTTGTAAGGGGCCTACGATATACAGTTTGAGATATTTCTCTCTTTTTTTTTAAAGAATGTCAATTAAGAACAGAGAGTTATTGAGTTCCCAGTGCCTTGAAAGCTGCCCATGTAAGCAAAGAGACCCCGAAACCTGAATTCGTGAACTTTTCATTACCAGGTCTATAAATATACCCAGATTCCAGTTTGGAGTTAGTTCGGCTCTCTGAAAACTGAAAACAAATGACCTCAAACGTTATCCATGTATGCTTTCTCGGGCCAAAGGTGTTCACAGATACCAACGTTTGGCTGAACAGAATTTTTTTTTTCTTTTAAACTGGGAGGCTGGCAAGAGAAATACGCATCTGTTGGTGGTGCCTTTCAAAAACGGCTAAGGAAAAGGTAGCCAGGGCTCCCACACTATACTAACGTCAATCAAGGTCAGGGAACACCCACTAATGGATGGGAGATGGGGAAAACAGTAAGAGGCTTCTTGAAGGACGTGGTCGTGGGTACAGGTCTGAAAGCTTATGTAGAAAAAGCCTAAACCAAAAAGATGATCCCTTCCCTAGAGGAACGCAACACAGCAGAGGCCCAGCCCCTTCGCCTCTCCATCACCTCACGCCCCACAGCTCCCCTACCGCGGGTTTGCAGGTACCAGCTCCTCCTTCCCCGAACCTGAGACTCTACCTCACTGGTCCTCAGCGATCTGCGGCTGGGTTCCGGAAGAGCCTCCTCCCGGCTCCACCTGCAGAAGGGCGGCTGCCTGGCCCCTCCTCCTAGACCGCACCAGCGGGGGGGTGCAGGAGCAGACAGGGCCGAGCAGTCAGGGCCGAGCAGTCAGGGCGAAGGGCTCAGAGGGGCGTGGACTGGATGCTGGGAGGAGCCCCGGGCTGGGGAGGTGCAACAGCCGAGACCGAGGGCCGATTGCCCCAGCACGGCCTACCTAGAGGATCGCTGCAGTAGCTGCAGACGCGTCAACGAGATTTCAGATCCGCAGTCTCCGGCATGCTCACTTCCGCTTCCGCAATATGCACTTCCGCCCGCAGATGTGCCTTGCTGGACTAGGTGAAGCTTGAGCTTACGTAACCGGGAGTAGAGGGACGGTGGGACGAAAGGGATGTAGTACGCAGGCGCCAGAAGGGGCCGCGAGATGGGTGGTGCCCAGGGAAGAGGGAAGCGTCAACCCGTTACCCGGCAACCGGGGACTGTCCACGGAGGCCCGCCCACCCCTGGGTAACCCGACGGCGCTGGATGGATTTGTCCCAGAGACTGCATCTTCAGGATCCAATGGTTGCCAGCATTAGCACCCCTTGTCCTGCTCCCGCAGTGCATGCAGACAGGCCGCGGAGAATACTGGCTAGACCACAGTTTGTGTCCCGCCAAGAGTAGGAGGCTGTGAGGATACTGGTCTGGTTTTGAATTGTCCTGTGAATACCAGCACTGAAGGGCAGCACAGCTTGGACACCCGAGCGCGGAGGGCAGAGTGGTCACAGGCAATCATGCCCGTCACTTTATTGGGGAGAGTTTAGGGTGGCCAGCCTTGTGGTGTGGGCCACCTTCGGGCTGTCTGGAATAGGCAAATGTAGCTCCCTTGTGTCGGTAGCCACCAGTAGAGAACCCTTGGATCTCAAGGTTACTTTGACTTTAATAGCTGTTGAGTAAACACTCCCAGCTGCTTGAGTGTCGGCTTTATGTGTCCCGGCTTTCAGCTCACAGATGCTTCCTCAGCAGCCAGAGATAGCAACTCAGTGATTTTCGGAACTCCAGCAGCAGCTGCAGCTTGCAGTTTTTCCAGTCTCAGCATTCTGTAGTTTTTTACCTTTTGTGTGTTCGGTTCTTCTCTATATCGTACTTTTTCAACACTTCCGCCCTTCACAGTCTCAGCTCTCCGTGGTCCCTATGACGGCCCTCTATCTTCTGCGGGATGCTGTGCCTTGAGCTAGCAGCTCTGGACTTATCTGTTCAGGCAACCAACTAAGCACACCCTGCCCATGATAAAAGACTACAAGTAGACCTTAAAACTACCTGGAGTGCAGGGCAGTAGTGGTGGCTCACACCTTTAATCCCAGCACTTGCCTTTAATCCCAGAGCTCTGGAGGCAGAGGCAGGCGGATCTTTGAGTTTTAAGCCAAACTGGTCTACAAGAGCTAGTTCCAGGACAGGTTCCAAAACTACAGAGAAACCCTGACTTAAAAAAGCAAAGCAAAACAAAACAAAAAACACCTGGAGTCCTGGAGTAAACGTTATTGACATCTCAGGACTGGCTTGCAGTAGACATCTCCTGTATACTGTCATGAAGTCTGGAGTAACTGAGTAGGGTCATCTAAGGGTCACTTCAAGGTATCATGTCAAAGCAGAATTTCCTAAGCCAATGCTACAGCAGAGGTCGAGGTTAATTGCAGTGTTTTCCCTGACTGAAACAAAGTTTCTTTGGAACATCCACAGCTGACATGAAGTCATCTCTGGACATAGTTGCAGTTGCCTTGATGACAGTCCGAGGAACTTCCAGGAGCTACTGCTTGGTTTATAGTTCCTGCTTGATTGACAACTCGCAGGTCTCCAGAAATTGTGAGACCCAAGTTGCAATTGCCACCACCCTCACAGTCCTTCAGGAGTGGCAAGGCAGACTTGGGAATGGTGGAGACAGTACAATAAGAGACCGTCCCAATTCAGCCTCGATCTCTAATCTTGGGTTAGTTTCTCAGTATCTTAGCTACTTTTCCACTGCTTTGATGAAACACCATGACTACCATCCCAGTGTGGAAGTGTGGCATCAGGGTAGCTGAGTTCACATCTCCAACCCCATGCAAGAAGCAGAAGATGTGAAGAGGAATTAGTTCAGGTTTTAAACCTCAAAGTCCACTGCTCTCCCAGTGACATAAACTCACACCTTCTAAACCTACCCGAGCTGTTACCAACCGAGGACCAATTATTCAATATTTGAGCCCGTGGGAGACATTCTTATTCAAACCACTATACTCAGTTTCTCTCTCAGGCAATTTCTACTATGACCTGATGGCACGTGTCAGTCTAGAAACCAAACTATCCAGCATGCTTTCGCTGGATTTTTGTCAGCTTGACACAAGCTAGAGTTATCTGGAAAGAGAAACCTCAACCGAGAAAATACTTCCATCAGATTGCCTATAGGCAACTCTGTAGGGTATTTTCTTGGTCAATGATTCCGTATGGGAGGGCCCAGCCTACTGGGGACAGTGCCATCCCTTGGCCGAGTGTCCTAAGTTGTATAATAAAGCAATCTGGACAAGCCACAGAACGCAAGCCAGTAAGCAGCATTCCTCCATGGTTTCTGATTCAGTTCTTCCCATGACTTCCCTCAATGGATGGTGACCCAGGATATATACGCTAAATAAATACATGACTTCCCTCTCCAAGTTGCTTTTGGTCATGGTGTTTTTATTATAGTAATGGAAACACTAAGATAGAAATTGGTACAATCATGGAATATTGCTGTGACAGACCTGACCATGTTTGATGAATGATCATGGAAGGACTTTGGAACTTTGGAGTAGAAGAGCCATTGAGTGTTGAGAGCTTACTGAGCTGTTGTGAGAATTTAGAAGATAATGCTGAGAACGATGCGGATAATGAAACTCTGGCTCTTGAGGTTCGGAGGGAAGTTTGAGAGCCTTGTAAGGGCACTATCAGGGCCATTCCATATTTTGGATTAAGAATCTAGGAGCTAGAGAAGAGCACTTGTTACTATTAAAAAAAAATGGAACCTAAGTTTGGTCTCTGGTGCCCACAGGGCAGCTCACAACCATCTATAATTCTAGTCCCACCCAGGAGATCTGCTGTCCTCTTCTGACTTTCTAGAGCATCAAGGAAGCACATACAGTCCAGCAACACTGAGGTAACATCTTCTGGGAGTGTTCATCAGTGTCAGCACCCAGAAGCTGTGGTCCAGCTGTGGTCAGGTCTGTACCTTGTACTGGCAGCCAAATTTGGTTGTGTGTTAGCGTCTTCCAGGTGGTAATGGTTTTGAAAACATAGAGGAGTTATGGGAAACAGCTGAGGCTTGGCACTTTGAGAGTCCAGGAGAGGACATAGGTGAAAGTTGGTCCAGTTCCAGCAGAGACCCCAGCATTTTGGAGATGCCAGTACCATAGGCCATCAAGGACAACAGCAGATGCAGAATGCAGCCAGCCTGAGCCTGTGGAATGTACTATGTGTGCTGTGGACGCCACAGCCAGAGTCCTTTAGAGCCCAGAAGATCATGAGTCCCTGGTCATGAGCACTCTTGGACTTCAGTTTCACTTTGATTTGAATGTAACTGTGCCCTGGTTTTCCCTCTTGGAGTAAGAAAATATTTAACTTGTTTTGATTTCATAGGAGCCACAGTTGAGAGACTTTGGACTTTTAAAGAGACATTGTGTTTTTAAAGAGAACTTGAACTTTTAAAGGGTTGAAAATTTTAAATTCACGGGACTTTTTATTTATGTTTTATATGGTGATGTTGATATTAACATGAGATCTTGGGGATAAAAAAAGAATGAAAATACTATGGTTTCATAGAAATGTGTTTGTTTGTCAGGGTCATAAAAGATCAATTTTCCTGATTTTTTTTTTTTGTCAGCTTGATACAAAGTAGTGTTATCTGGGAAGAGAAACCTCAATTAAGAAAATACTTTCATCAGATTCCCTTTAGGCAAGCCTGTAGGTCATTTTCTTGCTTAATGACTCACATAGAAGAACATAGCCCTCTGGGGAAGTGCCAACCCTGGGTAGGGAGTCCTGATTTGTATAATAAAACAGTAAGCATGCCATGGAAAACAAGCCAGTTTTTTCCATGGCTTCTGATTGAGTTTCTGCATTTAGTTCCTGCCCTGCTTTTCCTCAGTGATGGAGAGTAACCTGCGTTATAAGATGAAATACACCCTTCCCTCCCCAAGCTGCTTTTGATCATGGCGTGGTGTTTTATCGCAGCAACAGAACCCTAACAAAGAGATAACACCTGGCAGAGGAAAATATCAAAGGGTGCTTTTCACAAAGACAGTGCTAACATGCGGTTAGCACTTTTCTTCAGTGACCATTTCCTTAAATTATTAACTTCCATCCTGCAACAAGTTTAAGGATTGAGTCTTGATGGCCCTAAATGGGGCCATGTACACTCAGGGCACTCTCGGACTTGTAGCAAGAGGCCACACCACATACTTCTCCTTCTTGGTTACAATACGGCAATAGATTTCATTCATTTCTTTAGTTTCTGTTCCATATTGTCTGCAATCAGGAGAACACTTCTTCAGTCTCTTGTAAGACAGAATGGCCTTGAGATCAACATAATGTTTTAGTATAAGCTCCTGAAAAAATCCAATTATTAATACACCAAATTGATTAAGGTGCACCCCAGTGAGGACTTTCTGGTTCCTAGTGAACTTATGAAACTTCATTCAAGGAAGTAATTTCCTTCCTTCAGGATCTTTGACAGAACACTTGATGGAGTGCTGTGGGACAATGGTTTTACCCTGTAAAGATTTGTTTCTTGTACTTGTTTAATAAAATGCTGATTGGCCAGTAGCCCAGCAGGAAGTATAGGCGGGGCGACCAGGCAGGAAGTAGAGGCAGGGCAATGAGAACAGGAGAATTCTGGAGAGAGAAAGAGTCAGTCTTCAGTCTTCACCCAGATACAGAGCAAGCAAGATGTGACTGCCTCACTGAAAAATGTAACAAGCCACGTGGCTAACACAGACAAGAATTATGGGCTAATATAAGTTATAAGAGTTAATAAGAAGCCTGAGCTACTGGGCCAATCAGTTTATAATTAATGTAGGCCTTTGCATGTTTATTTGGGACTCAACGGATGTGGGACCTGGTGGGACAGAAAACCTCTGTTAACAATGGAGCACTCAAAATACATAAGTAAGTTGAGGTTACACTATGGATATGTTAAGGGGTTGAAAAGACATCTTTCTGAGAATCATGGTAGTCATTTCCTATTGAGTTTTTCCTTCTAAGTAAAATCAACACATAGTACCTGGAACCTGCTGGTTGAGG